AAAAAAATAAATAAATATTAGCATTCGCTTCTTTGTCATGTTTATTTCTTGATTAAAGGCGAAAGGCTTTTGTTAAGCTCTAAACCCAAATCACCTCGCAGGGTTTTGCAAATCTAGCCAACAAACTGATGATGGTTTTATTATTTTGAGCACTAAGACCTTTGAGCATTGGTGTGAAACTTTACATGTGAGTCACATGCAGGAGAAGTGTCTCCTTCAAACCTCATAGAATTTAATGGGACTTTTTTTTCCCCCTCCAGATAAGTGGATATAAAAGGAGCAGACTTACACAATTGCTAAGATCATTGAAGTAAGTGATCAGGTTTTAACCTGAGAGGGAGACAGCTTAAAAGCGCATGAAATAAGTGGTGGATAAACGTGTCCCATTTTAAGTTCTCGAGAGGGAGGGTGAGGTTTAAGATCTGCAAACAGCTCCTTTTGCTAGCTTGGATTTTGAGAAAATGTCGCCTTTCTGCCAGCTGGCAGATGGGAACCCAAAACCTTCAGAGAGAAGAGGTGTTGCTCCCTGTTGATAGGGCACGCAACTTAGGCATCCTCCTGGATTCACAGCTGACTCTGGAAGATCATGTTACGACCGTGACCAGGGGGGCATTTGCCCAGATTCATCTGATGCGCCAGTTGCGCCACCTGGACCGTGATGCCCTACGCACAGTCGCTTATGTGCTCGTCACCTCCCGGATCAACTACTGCAATGCTCTCTACATGGGGCTGCCCCTGAAGACCACTTGGAGGCTTCAGCTGGTGCAGAATGCGGTCGCGCAGGTAGTGATGGGAGTGTTGTGGCTCCGTTACCTGAGCCTGTGTCATCGGCAAGAGAGGACTCCAAGAGTGAAGGAGAGGAGTTGGCAAGGCCTCCCTCTCCAGGACCCTCCTCTTTGGCAATGCCTTCGGTGTCCACTGAAAGGCAAGAGATAGGGCCGGGGCCAAGCATGTCCACGCAGCCACAGGTGGGCAGTGATGAGAGTAATGAGTCTTGGCTGGATCCACGTCAGCATCGCAGAGATAAGCGCGCGCAACAGAAGAAAAGGCGTGCCCGAGATTAGGCTGAGTCACTGGACCACACCCCACAAGGTATAAAAGGGAGCGTGGTGGCCAGTCAAACCTTGTGATGAACAAAGCTGAAAGCTTCCACGCCATTCTGCATTGCCGGACTTTTGTTATAGACTTTGCTGGATTAACTCTGGACTTGATTGACTCTGTAATTATTGAGCTGTTTCTTTTGATGTACCAGAAGCGGGGAGAAATTATCTCTCCTCTTCGTAAGTAATAAACTCTTGGCAGGCAGCGACTAGGTTGTTGCCAAGTTCCGTTATCACAAGGAAAAAGATTTTGCCGGCTGGTTTGGTCTTTAACTCTTGAACGTCTGTTAGTGTGTGTGCGTGTGGGACAGGGAGAGAACAGGGAGCGTCCCAACACTCTCATGTTACACCCCTCCTGCGGGACCTGCATTGGCTGCCAGTTGCCCTCCGGGTGAGATTCAAGGTGCTGGTAATCACCTATAAAGCCCTACATGGCTTAGGCCCGGGGTATTTGGCGGACCATCTGCGGCCAGCGACTGCTCCCCATCGCCCAGTGCGTTCCCACAGGGAGGGCCTCCTTGGGGTGCCGTCGGCCAGGCAATGTCGGCTGGCGACCCCTAGGGAGCGGGCCTTCTCTGTGGGCGCACCTACCCTGTGGAATCAGCTCCCCCTGGGGCTCCGGGTGGCCCCTGACTTTCGCTCTTTCCGCCGTGACCTTAAAACATGGCTATTCCACCTGGCTGGCTTGGATTGAAGGGGTTTTAGAGGGGATTTTAATGGTTTTTATAGTTTTATTGGGTATTTTTAAAAAATTGAACTTTGTGTGTTTTATTGTTGTTAGCTGCCCTGAGTCCTTTCGGAGATAGGGTGGCATATAAATTTAAATAATAAATAATAATAAGGGAAGGGAAACTACAGTAGTGGCCAAAATTGTGGAAACCTTTTGGGAAAAGTGTCTTTTTGAAGTTTGATGGCTAATAACACCACTTTTTTTTTTTTTTTTGAGTTTCAAGATAATCATATTCCATTGCTGGAATGGCCTGGGAATAGCCCAGACCTTAACCCAATGGAAAATCTATGGAGCCGCCAACTAAAGAAACTTGTTAGTCAGAAGTGACCCAGCAATAAAACCCAGTTAATAGAAGCCATCATTCAATCTTGGTTTCACATTAAAACAGCTGCAGAACTAAAACACTTGGTTCACTCCATGGGAAGACGTTGTAAGGCTGTAATTCATGCTAAAGGTTACCCAACGAAGTATTAACTGACATGGTGATAGTTTTTTGTATATCTCGTTTTTTTCTACGTGTTTCACTTTTCTTCTTTATACTGTAACTGCTATTCTAATAGCAAACCCTTCATAAAAATTATTGCATTACATTCTTGATTAAATTATCTTTCCATTGATATATAATTTTATGGTACTACTCCCCCCAAAAGTGGTGTTATTAGCTAGTTTTAGAAAATACACATTTCCCAAAAGGTTTCCACAATTTTGGCCACTACTTTATGTTTGAAAGCAGCTTCCGTTTCACTTGATTATTTTCAGCCATGCCCAGAGAGTATCCAACGAGTTTCCCCAACCCACGTAATTTATTAGCCACAGCAGACCAATTCCTGGTGGCCTGTCGCCCCGCAGCTTTTTGGTAATTTCACCACCCACCTGCGCCAGATATCCACGCTTCCCTCCATCCCTTCCCCCCTCCTTCTCCTTTCCACGCCTCGGATCCGGTGAGTCACGCCCGTGTCAATCAGTGTAAGAGAAAAGAAGGGATAGCCTCCCACGTGCTCTGGCTTCTCCAGGGGTGCTCTCAAATCTCAGGTGCTTCCTTCCTATCTTCCTTCCTTCTTTCTTTCTTTCTTCCTTCCTTCTTCCTGTCTTCCTTCCTTCCTATCTTCAGTCCTTCCTTCCTTCCTATCTTCAGTCCTTCCTTCCTTCCTGTCTTCCTTCCTATCTTCCTTCCTTCCTATCTTCAGTCCTATCTATCTTCCTTCCTTCCTTCCTATCTTCCTTCCTTCCTTCCTTCCTTCCTATCTTCCTTCCTATCTTCAGTCCTATCTATCTTCTTTCCTTCCTTCCTATTTTCCTTCCTTCCTATCTTCCGGTCTTCCTTCCTTCCTTCCTTCCTGTCTTCCTTCCTATCTTCCTTCCTTCCTTCCTTCTTTCTTTCCTTCCTTCCTTTCTTTATCTTCACCCCTTTACTCTCAATAATGCACCACATCTGGTGAGAGGCCTCTTTCTCATGCACAGGGGCATTTAAAAGAAAAACCGCGGGAGGGGAGTGGCAGAGGAAAAAGGCAAGAACCAATCAATATATTAATATATACCAATTAAGGTTTATACTAATTATACTACTTAATACACCAATATATACTCAAGGTTTATATTAGTTAGTTATACTATACTAATTAGTTATAGTAACTATACTGCTTAGACAGGGCTGTAAAGTCCTGTGAAGCGGTATATAAGTCTCATATCTTGTCTTTTATGTACACTGAGAGCATGTGCACTAAAGACAAATTCCTTGTGTGTCCAATCACAATTGGCCAATAAAGACTTCTATTCTATTCTATTCTATTCTATTCTATTGCTAATTCTATATTAAGATCTACTCAAGGTTTATATGAATGCATTATTAATATAGACAAGATTTTACAACTGTGCATTTTGGAGTAAATGATGGACAGGAGTCCCTTTGGGACCCTTTGACAGTCACCTCCAGTCCCGTCCCGCACCGGCTTCCTCCCCCAAAGTCTCCCGAGTGACGAAGGAATGAATGAAAGACCCACGCGCAAAAGTTTACTTTGGAATGCCAGAAACCCCGCCCACTGGGAAGGAGGCGTGGCGTAGTCCCCCAAGGGGCGGGGCTGGAGACTCCTTTCCCTCTTCTTTCCCCTTCTAAGGAGCAATAAGAAGAGGGTGGAGGAGGAGGCGAAGGCGTGGCCTGACCCCCAAGGGGCGGGGCTGGAGACTCCTTTCCCTCTCCTTTCCTCTTAAAGGAGCAATGAGAAGAAGGTGGAGGAGGAGGAGGAGGCGTGGCCTGGCGGGGCTTGGGGGCGTAGTCCCCCAAGGGGCGGGGCTGGAGACTCCTTTCCCTCTTCTTTCCCCTTCTAAGGAGCAATAAGAAGAGGGTGGAGGAGGAGGCGAAGGCGTGGCCTGACCCCCAAGGGGCGGGGCTGGAGACTCCTTTCCCTCTCCTTTCCTCTTCAAAGGAGCAATGAGAAGAAGGTGGAGGAGGAGGAGGCGTGGCCTGGCCCCCAAGGGGCGGGGCTGGAGACTCCTTTCCCTCTCCTTTCCTCTTCAAAGGAGCAATGAGAAGAAGGTGGAGGAGGAGGAGGCGTGGCCTGGCCCCCAAGGGGCGGGGCTGGAGACTCCTTTCCCTCTCCTTTCCTCTTCAAAGGAGCAATGAGAAGAAGGTGGAGGAGGAGGAGGCGTGGCCTGGCCCCCAAGGGGCGGGGCTGGAGACTCCTTTCCCTCTTCTTTCCTCTTCAAAGGAGCAATGAGAAGAAGGTGGAGGAGGAGGCGTGGCCTGGCCCCCAAGGGGCGGGGCTGGAGACCCCTTTCCCTTTCCTTTCCCCTTCAAAGGAGCAATAAGAAGAAAGTGGAGGAGGAGGAGGAGGAGGCGTGGCCTAGCCCCCAAGGGGCGGGGCTGGAGACTCCTTTCCCTCTTCTTTCCCCTTCAAAGGAGCAATGAGAAGAAGGTGGAGGAGGAGGAGGCGTGGTCTGGCCCCCAAGGGGCGGGGCTGGAGACCCCTTTCCCTCTCCTTTCCCCTTCAAAGGAGCAATAAGAAGAGGGTGGAGTTTGGGACCGAAGCTCCTCCTTCTTCCCCCCCCCACCTCCTCCTTTCGCGCCTTTGGTTTGGAGGGAATCAAAAAAAAGGGGGGTGGGGGAGGCGGGGCCCGGGTTGGGTAGCGGGGAGAGAAGCAACAGCCTATTAAACCCCCTGGCGGGGCGAGCGAGCGGCAGAGTAGCGCTGTGGCGGGGCGAGCGAGCGAAGGGAGGAAAACGGGGAGACTTTCCAATGCGAAGAGGAGGAGGAGGAGGAGGAGGCAGCGGCGGGCGCCGGACGGCAGGCGGAGGGCGGCTCTGGAAGCGGCGAGGGGCTGCTCCGAAATGCTGGAGAATGGCTCTCTGAGGAACTGCAGCGGGCTGGCGGGCCGAGGGGGAGCCTTCGCCTTCCCTTTGCCTCAGCGCGGGGAAGAAGAAGAAGCGGCGGCGGCGGCCGACCCGAGACCGCGCTGGGTGGTGACGGTGCTGTCCAGCGTGCTGATCTTTACCACCGTCGTCGACGTGGTGGGAAGCCTGCTGGTCGTCGTCTCGGTTTTCAAGAACCGCAAGCTCAGGAACGCAGGTAAAGGCAACGGAGAGGAGAGGCAGCTCCCGGGACGGATCATGTGTCAGGGAGTTCCACCGGGGACAAGAAGTGACGGAGGGGGGAAGGAGGAGGAGGGAAGGGAGTGGGGGGGGGGTGAGGAGAAGAAGATGCCAGGCTCTTCCTTGTCTCTTCCTGGGTTTGGGGGCTCGCCGTGACCCAGTGGTTAAGAGGCTGAGCTTGCGGATCAGAAAGTTCGGCGAGTTCGAATCCCTAGTCTAGGTCTCCTGCGTGAGCTTGCTTGCTTTATTTATTTATTTATTTATTTATTTATTTATTTATTTATTTATTTATTTATATATTTATTGGTTCGATTTATATGCCGCCCTTTTCCGGAGACTCAGGACGGCTTACAATGCGTTAAGCAACAGCCTTCATACTTTTGTATATACCTGCTTAGTAGGGCTTTCGCCCCCCCCCCCCACAAGCGGTGTTCTTTTTTATACAAAGTCAGCTTATTGCGCCCATAAACCGGGTCCTCATTTTACCTACCTCGAAAGGATGGAAGGCTGAGTCAACCTTGAGCCTGGCGAGATTTGAACTTGCAGGAATTGCAGGCAATTACTTAACAGTGCTTTAGTCTGCTGTGCCACCAAGGCTCCAAGGGTTGGACTAGATGACCTCCGAGGTTCCCTCCAACTCTGTTACTGGGACTAATTACTATTCGTTGCACGAGGTCAGCTCTCCCTTACCAAACGGGAAACTGAGGCTCAGAGAATGTGTGTGTGTGTGTGTGTGTGTGTGTGTGTGTGTAAGGTTGGGCACTGAAACTCGGGCATCTTTCCCGCGAGGAGAAAGAAAGCAAATGTTGTGTTTAATTCGTTTATTAAGTTTTACTTAGATTTTTATCTTGCCTTTATTATTATTATTATTATTGTTTGATATAAAGAAGGCAGCCCATGCACATGGTGCTCTTTCCTCCTCCGATTTCCCCCACAACAACAACAATCCTGTGAGGTGGGCTGGTCTGGGCTGAGAGAGAAGGATTGGCCCAAAGTCACCCAGGTGGCTTTCGTGGCTAAGGCAGGACTAGAACTCACAGCCCCCAGGTTTCTAGGCCAACTCTTACCACTACACCAAAGTGACTCTCGTCTATCTACATATCTATGATTTGTTTATCATTTCCTTAATTACTTATTTAGAATTCAAAATGGGAAGTTTACAATATAAAATGTGTGGGTTTTTTTTTTTAAAAAAAGCCATCCTTTGGACGAGGTGTCCAAAATAGGCACAACACTTTCTAAGAATTTTACCAAGATTTGCAATCTCTGCTCCAGAAACAATGAGATTCGTCCTCATTGTAAGACAATCAGCAAAGGTCTTATCAGACCAGTGTCCTTAAATGTCCTGCTTCCCAGAGCAGCTGGGTAGATCCCCACCGCACTACCAGTACTTCTAAAAGGAGCACCTTCCCTGTTGCTGCTCCTCTAACAGGATATTGTCTTTGATATTAAATCTGCATTTATTTAGCACAGTTTCTGATAAACCTACTCTACAAACGTAGGCTATTAACTTGAACACTTTAACATTTGAAATGATTCTGGTTCTAGCATCACTGAGTATCTCTTAGTCTCTCTGTTTATGCTCAGAGGCCACTGGGCCACAGGTGTAAAATATATATGCTTATCTATTGCACTTTTCCCTTGCAGGCTAAGGAACCTTATGCAATGCATAGAAAAGGATAAAAATAACAAAGAAAAGGAATTAAAGATATAACAAAGGAAACAGAGTGAAAACTAGTTTACACACCATTCACCATTCTATTCCACACTTTTCTATCCTTGCCAATTGTTTTGGCATTTATTCTTTAAGCTTCTTTAAAGCTTCTTTTTTTAAAACTTTAAACTTCTTTCACTTCTTTCCCTGTGAGACTCTCATCAACGCTATCTAACGTGGTGCACAGGGAGTCCTTGGTTAATGACGGCACTGTTTAGCAACCATTTTAACTTAGGATAGTGCTGACAAAGTTCTTTTATGATCAGGACTATTCGTTGCAGCTGTCCAACATCTCCCTGCAGTTCACGTGATCGCCAATTTGTGAGCTTCACAGCCAATTTCTGACAAGCAAGGTGAATGGAGAAGTTGGCAAGAAGTGACAACTCAGGGTGACACAATGTCACACTGAACGGTCGTTGGTGATTATGCAGAAGAACTGATGTTGTAACTGATCCAGCAAGATCACAGGATGTTTCATTTTAGGAGTACATTTCTTAGCGATGGCATTGCTGCTGCAGTTGTTGAGTGAGGTCATCCTGGGTGAAATCCAGCAGGTTCTGACAGATTCTGGAGAACCGTTAGCGGAAATTTTGAGTAGTTCAGAGAACCAGCAAATGCCACCTCTGGCTCGCCCCAGAGTGGGGTGGGAATGGAGATTTTGCAGTATTCTTCCCCTGGAGTGGGGAGGGAATGGAGATTTTGCAATATCCTTCCCCCAGGAGTGGGAAGGGAATGGGGATTTTGCAGTATCCTTCCCCTGGAGTGGAGTGGGAATGGAGATTTTGCAGTATCCTTCCCCTGGAGTGGGGTGGGAATGGAGATTTTGCAGTATTCTTCCCCTGGAGTGGGGAGGGAATGGAGATTTTGCAATATCCTTCCCCCAGGAGTGGGAAGGGAATGGGGATTTTGCAGTATCCTTTCCCTGGAGTGGGGAGTGAATGGAGATTTTGCAATATCCTTCCCTCAGGAGTGGGGAGGGAATGGGGATTTTGCAGCATCCTTCCCCTGGACTGGGAGGGAATGGAGATTTTGCAGTATCCTTCCCCTGCCACGCCCACCAAGCCACACCCACCAAGCCACACCAAGCCATGCCCACAGAACTAGTAGTAAAAAAAATTGGATTTCACCACTGGGTCTACCTGTATGGGAAGGGAATGGCCTTGGGAGACAGGAGTGTTAGACTAAACAATGGTCAGATAAGCAGCATATTTGGCTCATAGAAGGAATGTGTATGTGGCAATCATCTGAGAAGAGATGCTCACTAGTTAATTGGACTATAAAGGAGAGAGAGATATACTTTTAGACTTGCAACATTGGGTTAATGTTATCTTACAATAAAGTTGGAACTAGTTACTTCTGGAGAAGCGTCTTGTCTGGACAACTTCGCAAAGCTGACACGTGGCTTTCTTGATTTCCCCTTTCTCTCGCTCATTTGTTCTTCTTCAAATATTTATTTTGCAATTCCCTTCTCATTCTTTCTCTGTACACAGCCAAACCACTTCGATTTAGGTCTTTTTGTGTCGCTCGGTTTTTGCATGTGCAAGATTTCACTGAAAACGTTTTCCTGGGGATCGTTCCTATTTGGGCACAAAACCATGCCTGCTCCTTACCTAGGGCTCACCTTAGATTCTAAAACCCAGAACATTTGAGGTTATAACAGATTAACAGAGTTGGAAGGGACCTTATAGGTCATCTAGTCCAACCCCCCACTCAAGCAGGAGACCCTATACCATTTCTGACAAATGGCAGTCCAATCTTTTCTTGAAAGTCTCAAGTGATGAAGCTCCCACAACTTCCGAAGGCAACTTCTGTTCTATGGGTTGATTGTTCTCACTGTCAGAAAGTTCCTCCTCATTTCTAGGTTGAATCTCTCCTTGGTCAGGTTCCATCCATTATTCCTTGTCTGGCCTTCAGGTGCTTTGGAAAATAGCTTGACCCCCCCTCCTCTCTGTGGCAGCCCCTCAAATATTGGAACACTGCTATCATGTCTCCCCTAGTCCTTCTCTTCACTAGACTAGCCATGCCCAATTCCTGTAACCGTTCTTCATATGTTTTAGTCTCCAGTCCCCTAATCATCCTGGTTTGTTTGTTTTTTTATTTGATTTATATGCCGCCCTTCTCCGGAGACTCAGGGTGGCTTACAATGCGTTAAGCAATAGCCTTCATACTTTTGTATATTTATACAAAGTCAGCTTATTGCCCCCACAAACTGGGTCCTCATTTAACCTACCTTAGAAAGGATGGAAGTCTGAGTCAACCTTGAGCCTGGTAAGATTCGAACCTGCAGTAATTGCAGGCAACTGTATTAATAACAGGGTGCTTTAAACCACTGTACTACCAAGGCTCTTGGTTGCTCTCCTCTGCACTTTTTCTAGAGTCTCAACATCTTTTTTATAGTATGATGACCAAAACTGGATGCAGTACTCTAGGTGTGGTCTTACTAGGGCTTTATAGAGTGGTATTAGTACCTCATGTCAGCCCCAAAATGTTTCCTGCTCATGAATGAGATTGATATCCCATCCTACACAATCTCCCCTAAAGATTTTCCTTCTGGCGTATCTGCAGTTTTTGTGTCCATTGGAAGCTTAGCACGGTTAGTCCTCACTTAAGAATGGTAATTGGGACCAACAACTCTGTTGCTATGCAACACAATCACAAAACGTGACACTTACGGTCGTGGCAGTCCCAGTTGTCATTGTTAGGCAAATCCTATGCAGTCCCAACATCCTTACTGTCACATGATAGAGCTATTTGTGACTTCTTGCCAGCTTCCTCACTGACTTTGTTTGTTGGAAGCCAGCAATGAAGATTACGAGTGGCAATCACATTACTGCAGGACACTGCAATGTCATAATTGTGAGTTTGTTGCCAAGCAGTCCTTGTGATCGCATCGTTGTGGGGACGCTGTGACGGCCGCAAGTTCAAGGACCTGTCATAAGTCCCCTTTATTCAGCACTTTAGTAAGTTAGAACAGTTGCTAAACACGTGGTCCTTAAATTGCATCAGTCTTCATTCATCTATAATGCATTAGACTGATGGATTTTCATCTCTGGTTTGAGTTTTAAAAAAAAATCCAACAACCGGGCATTTTTAGACTTGTGTAAGGATGGATATAAATAAACATTTATGAACCCTTTTCAAAATACGCATAAAAGAACAGCTTCTATTTCTTAGCCTTCCCGTGTGCACTGATTGAATTGGGGTGGAAAAGGACAGACAAGAAAAGGGAAGGGTGATTGTTATCTCATTCTATATAGATTTAT